GTACGGGGTTGTCAATGAAGTAAAAGAAAAAAGACTGAACCGAAGTGAAACTTCAGTGCAGGCTTGTCATAGATGGAGAAGTATGGGGAGTAAAAAGTCTCAAAAGATCTGTGTGTGTGTGTGTGTGTGTGTGTGTGTAACTAGATTTGTGCATGTGTATCTAGATTATCTAGATTTGTGTGTGTGTGTAACTAAAGATTTGTGTGTGTATGTGTGTGTAGAGCCCTGCACGGGCCTAAAATCTGAGCCCGTGTCCGGCCCGGCCCGAGGGGGCGGAGCCCCAGCCCGACCCGGTCCGAAAAGGTTTTCAGGATTCTCTGGCCCGACCCGAGCCCGACTTTTTTTTAAAACCTTTCATAATGTTTTAGCGTGATAGAATGCTCCGCATTCTAATGATCTGTGGGAAGCGTTCTGCAGTAAAAAAAAAAAAGAAAAAAGACAAGAAAGAAAAACGGCATCAATGCAGCTTTTTTTTTCTAACAGAGTATTTTTCGAGCGGCAGATGAAATTTACGAACGCTATATTAATTGGATGCGTTTGTAAATTTAATCTGCTCTGAAAATGCGCTCTTGTGCGATTAGAAAAAAAAGCAGCATTCTAATTTTCTAACTGCAGAGTGCATTTTCAGAGCAGCAGATTAAATAAACGCCCCCAATTAATAAAGCGTTTGTAAATTTAATCTGCCGCTCTGAAAATTCGCTCTCCAGTTAGAAAAAAAACAGCAATGAATGCTGTATTTTTTTTAACTGCAGAGCGAATTTATTCACAGAAAAATAGAATGCTGCCATTTTCATGCGAATGAACTAATGGTTTCTGACACATCAAAGTGGACATAAAATGGCTTATTAGAACAGGGGCACATGTTTCAATCAGCAGTTTGAGAATTCATTTATACCATTGACATAAATACACTGGACATCTCCTTTCCATAGGCTCCAATATCCAATATGAGGCCAAATGGGAGGTGGCCACCACCGCCATTTTGACCGTGTCACAGGTTCCGTCAAGCCCAGACAATTCCAAAAAAGGGAAGAGAGGAGGAGCTGAGGGTGGGGCTGTAAGGCTGGGATCAACTGATTTCACAAAGGCCCGGTAGGGTATCTGCAGTTCTGGAGAACTTCCCTGATGTCTTTCTCTTCTTTTTGCTTTCCTTCAGTCTTAGAGGGAATATTCCCAGCCCGATGGTGTGAAGTCCTGATGACTGACATTTAGTGCTCCGGTGGGTGATGTGAGTCGAAATGCAAATGCTGGTCTTTGTGAGTTGGTTTCCTGTAGACGTCAAGATTGAAGTCTCAGGCTATTTGTCACATCCGCGATAAGGAACAGGGCTGTGCAGAGACTTTTGAAGGGCCGGGTGCTCAAAGTTAAAAAGGGGCACACATAGAGCAAGATTTTTTAAACAGATTCACAATCCAATGCATTTCTAAAAATTCAGATAAAGAGAGATCACTTGGTTAAAGCAAAATAACAACAAACTAAGCAAAAATATTTTATTTTGTGTTATTTATAGATGTTAATGTTATTTAATAAAAAAAGAATTAAACTAACTTTTAATTAAAAAATAATTTTTTGTCCTGGTCGGAGTCCGACTTATTGAGTATCTGCTGACACAGAGTCCCGATCCAATACTTCAGCCACGCATTAAAATAAGAAGGAGAAAACACGTCCAAGCAGTGTTTTGAGTTTTTTAAATAACCGTTTTTACATTTCCTTTTTTCTGTATTTGTCATTTTCTTAATTTATCTATCTGCACAAACTCACTCATACATGAAGTACATTGATAAAAAGGGTTAATATTACTAATATATTTAAAAGTAGCCTCAAATTGTTTAAACAGTGCACAACCAAAGACAGTCACCCAGTGCAATAATCACTGCTATCATTAATCTGATCTTTTTCCTGTTTCTATGCAATTTGTTTTTTTTAACGTATCTTTAAATATTGGTTTGTTGCTTTTGTGTGAGTTGCTGCTGTAAACTTGAGCTGTTTTGGGTTGTTTTTAAAGGGTTGGGCAAGGTCTAAATGCAGATAGGTGATTTGCTGTGGCAACCACTGAAGGGAAAAGCAGAAATTTTTTAGTGCAGCTCTGTTTTCCACCACGTTGGCCTTCCATAATACTCAGTTGTAATTTCTCTTGAGTTAAAAGTAAATCTGTTGTTTTTCAATCAGTTATCCATATTCACATTTGTCGTCTGTAGCAGGCAGGATGTAAAATTAGAGATAATTGTCTGAATCCTAAACAGACATGATCTGATTCTGAAATCTACATTAACTGTGAGAGCTCTGTGACTACAGAATCACACAGTGGCATGTTAACAGGTTACACCATATTCTGTTACCATCAGATTCTCCAGAGGGCACTGTTTCACTGACTCACATTGAATGAATGTCGCTCCTTATGTGCACGAGCTCAGCATCCAATCTACACAAACCTCTTAATATGCACAAGCTCCATGTGGAATTCATTCTGAAAGCCTCGGCATAAGGCGATATTTATGAAGCAAATAAGATGTAGCGGAACAAAAAGAAGCTGATCATTGCCACTCAAAAGGAACAACTGGTCATGATTTACTACAAATAAGATTTTAAATCTCATGTTTGTGTGATTCAACCTCATAAGAAGAAATTATCTTATAGCACCTCTCAAAATAAAAATCATGAGGCGCTTCCCAAAATTAACAATTTAAAAAATAAAATATTTAAAAAATGATCCAAACATTTTATAAAAATTAGAAGAGTATATTAAAAAAAATGTGATTAGATAGATTAAGACCTGGACCGCTACTAGGAGAGATTACACTGCAGGTTAGCCAATGCTGATCTGTTAAAGTTTGGTGTTCCACCAAATCAAATCAAATCAAATCAAATCAAACTTTATTTATGTAGCACTTTTCATGCAAAGCAAGCAACACTAAGTGCTTAACAGATTAAAATGAACCATATAACCCACATTCCCTCCCTTTCCCACACAAAACAATTATGACGGTTTCACCCCCCCAATCCACAAACCATTCCAAGGCACACACACACACACACACACACACACACACACACACACACACACACACACACACACAGATACACACACTCGTATGCATAACACATTAAAAGACCACAGCAGGGGCGGCGTTAGGCCCGGCTACTTGGGCTCAAGCCCCGAATGTTTTATGAAAAGCCCCGGATCTAAATCGTGGAAGTAACATGCAGTACCACAGTCCAACAGAGAGGGAGCAGCTGGCAGTAGTTTGTATACAGCCTGCCTGAGCCTCCACCACTGAAGAAGAAGCCCTTCAGCAGCCGGCTTCTTCTACACTCTCTGCCTGAAACGCATGAGTGAAGATGGACATAAGGACGTTTTTTTAGACAAAAAGTACAACGACAGAACCCCAGCTTTGATGAGACTGGTGTTGATTCAGGTTTGTGAGTCTTATTTGAAAATATTTGTTGTGCTGCTGGTTTGCCTAAAGTTAGCTTACTATCAGGTAAAGTTGTTGGAGAAAGAAAGGGAATATTTACTATCATCTCACACTAAACACTAACAGGAACAATACTCTGTCCTGAATATGCTTAATATGTAGCTTTAGATTAAAAATTATGTGGTACAAGACAAATATATATGATGTTGACTAGTGCGTGTCATGTGTGTGTGTGTGTGCGAGCGCACGTGTGTGTTAAGCCCCGGATCTTCTTCAGTCCTAAATCCACCCCTGGACTACAGTAAACACTAGGCTGAGCTCAGAGTGGACAGGTAATGAAAGACACGCCATCAAGGGAGCCATCTGCCTCGACAGCAGCAGATCCATGGCAGCAGCCAAGACACCAATCCAGGGCGACCTGGGAGGGAGGGTGGCAACCCCCACCACTACCTGGGCACAACCCAAGGAGTGCCCCAGTCGCCGCCACCGACCACCGGTCCTGAGGCAGAGGACTCCACAGAGGAAACAGTGGAAGAATTAAAATATGTAACAACAGTGGTGCTGCTGGAGGTTGCAGTCTGGGCTTTTATGCTAGGGCTTCTTCCTCAATATTAGACAATGAAAAGCACGAGATAGACAAGAAAAATACAAAAAACATATAAATCGGGAACATTCAAAGCTTTCAGGTCAATTATATTCCAATGCATCACTGTACTCTAGTCTCTGAAATAAGGGTAATGGTTTTAATGTCCATGAATGTGGTCGTTGATGATTTATTGAATACATGTATTAATAATTTTACTTCCTCCTCTCTCAAACAGCAGCAACCTCTCCTCTGGTTCAGGAAGTGCTAGGAATGTGTCAGGCGTGCTGGAGTGTGAAGCGGAGGTGAGGATCCACACGTGGGTGAAGAAGGTAGGCAATCAGACATGAACGGTTAAAGGCTTTAGTAATAAACACGCTGACACTGAAACAATGATCCAACACGAGACACAGAACTGAAGGGGTTTAAATACACGAGGGCTGGGAGCTGGGGTGATTGGAAAACGAGAGGCAGGTGGGAGCAACTAACAGGGACACATGGCTGAACCCATGGACGTAATTTGGGGGGGGGGGGGGGGGGGGGGGGGGGGACGGACGGGGGGACATGTCCCCCCCACTTTTTCCAAAGTCAAGTTTTGACCCCTGCAATTTTTACCATCCAAAAACAATATTACGCTATATCAAACTGACACTGGTTGAGCTCTAGGACCAAGCGGAAAACAACCGTTTGTGTTGAAGCCGGTTTCCCATTAGAGCATACTGTCAAGACCCCCCCCCCCCCCCCCCCCCCCCCCGTGTCCCCCCCACTTCTAAAGTGAAAATTACGTCCTTGGCTGAACCAAACGGGGAGACAGGACAGGGTGTGACAGAATGACTTGCATGTGCTTTGAAAACAGACTTTATTTCTGAAAGTTTTTACTTTACATTTTGCAAACATAAAAAAGAACAGTCATTTCTTTTCTTTTGATTTAATGTTTCTGTTTGTCTCCATTCCCTCTAAATGATGCAGATTAAAAATGAATGCTAAAAGATAGAAACAGATTTTTGCACAGCTTTTAACTTTATTGTAAGGGGAAACACATCTGATGAACGAGCATCACCTTTTCACATTGTTTGCCTTTTACAAACACATTTGTCAAATGCACCAACAATATGTTTGCTTATTTAATGCACTTGTTTGTAGACGGCACAAAATGTGTACCGACAGTTGTTTAAACCACAATGAGAGCCACTCAGAGAGAATTAAATCTTCTTCCTGATGCATGTATGTCAGACATTAATTTTTTGCGATTTTTAAAATGGTTGTATTTGTGACAACTCAAATGGGCTGCAGCAATGGAATGGTAAAAAATAATTGGAGCTATATCTTGGTGTGCTGTTAAAATCGCTGGTTCCCAACATTTCAGGTCGTACGGTCTCCTGCTGTCTCCCATCAGACTACATAAAACACGTTAGAGGTAAAATTTCCAAGCCAAATGAAAATAAATGATTCTTAAGGTACTACATAAACATAAACTCCAGCAAAAAACTGGAAATTTTACAGGGCTCTGCAGGATGCCTTGTGCTTTAGTTACCTGGACCACACTGAAGGCAGCTGAAACAAATGTTCTCACTGGAGAATTACTTTCAGAAGGAAATACTGTTGTCTGTCTCACATGAATGTTTAAGACTAAGCCCAAACTGAAAATATTCTCCAGTGTTGCTCAGTAGCTGCATGTCTAAATTACTACAGAACACTGTAACCCTTATGTTGAAGTAAAGAAAATGTACAGAATCCATCTCTTTATAGAGTGAATAAAAAATAATCCTGGTGATGAAGGATTTAAAAACACAGCAGCAGCAATCCTCTAAAGTTGCTATGAGCTGCTGGGCAGTTGTTAGGCATCAGATGAATTAGCCTGCTGATGGGCAGTGTGAGAAGAGCTCAGGAATGAGTCTGAAAGGAGCTGGGCGTGCTCCACCAGAACGTAGGAATCCCTGATGTCTGCCAGGCCAAACCAGAAAACAGTCCACACGCCATTTACAAAGCTGCCATCACAATGCTTGAAGTACCTGGACATGGACATGGGGTGATGATTAGAGCAATGCAGCTACTCGATGAAATACCGACAAATAAGACGTCCACACGTAGCCGGGTTTTTTTTTAAACGAATATCCACCCCTCCAAAAACTTGCATCCACACCACCTCGTTTAAAAAAAAAAAACTCTGTCCACACGTACCCGGATAAATACGTTGTTAAGGACATGCCAGACCTGTAGGCGGCAGTACTTCCCCCGTTCTTAACCTCGTCCTTCGTCTGTGGTCTTCCGCAAGGAGCAGTAATTCCGCTTGCAAAAACAAACAAGCAAAAAGCGCTTGGACAATTGATAAAGCGAGCGCAGCTCTGAGGGCATCCATGCTGTCGGCTAGTGTAAACACAGGTCGCACACGTGATGTCAGCATTTTTTTGTCGCGGAAAGTGACGTTGCGGACCTTAAAACTCCGTTTTTGTCTGTCCACACGCAGACACCCAAAACGGAGAAAACGCAGATCTTCACTTTGGCCGGAGTTTCTAAAAAGATCTGTTTTCGTGTGGAAAATACTCCCGTTTTCATGTGGACGACAGGCCAAAACGTAGAAAAATATCTACGTTTTGGCAGATCCCCGGCTACGTGTGGACAGGGCCTAAATGTTCTGATGTATAAATTGTATTGGAAGTGTAAAGAAAACGTCAGCATGTGTGTCTCACCACGGGTTGATTCTGTTGGTTGCTTTAGACCTCCAGAACAGTTTCCCCAGGTCCTGTCTGATACACTCCCACAGAATGTGACTGGTGCCCTGCCCCTGCTTACAGCTGCTCACCACAAACTTGTCCAGATACGGAGTCCCTCCGTTCACCGGCTCCATTGTGATGATGGCTGCTGCGCTGTAGCTGCAGGGGTAAAGTTAGAATTCTGCACTCACTCACTCACATTTAATGAATACAGCAATACTGATGCACAGGTTTTACATGTAAACCTGTTTCAAAAGCTTGAAATTGATCTGTAACACGATCACCGACCCTTCAGAGAGATAGATGGAGTGCAGCCGTCCCTTTAGAGAATCGATGTAATCATCTTTCAGAGTTTTATCAAACGACTTGTTGATGAGCGTCAGCAGACGCTCCACATTAATCTCGTTCAGACAGCTGTACCTGCACACACAAAACAAACAGAGTTTGTGTGGTTTCTGGTTGTGGATCTGATTTAACTGGTTTGTATCTGCTGACCGATGAATGGGGTCTCCGTTTTTGAAGAGCGTCCCAGAACCTGAGAAGTGTTGGAAGACAGAAAATCAAGAGGAAAAAACAAGTTTATTTTAGGAAGCTATACTACTTCCTCCACAAATACCTATAAGCTGGTGTATCTGGTTACAGCTGGGAGTAAACAGCTGTCCACATGTGATCATGTTTTTGTAAACATGAGAATCACAGTCAGATGTTTACAGGTCTCACCCTTTTGGCTGAAGAGCTCGGTCAGCAGCGTGTCCGCTGAGGTGATCACAGCAGACGACTCTATAGGCAACTGATTTAGGAGTCTGGCAATGGTGGTCACCCTGCATCGCTCAACAGGGCTTAACCACTGAGCCGTGGACAGTGTGGGCAGGTCTTTAGGCAAGGACACAAAGTCTAGTACCTGTAACCCAAACAGGAAGTGATGGAGATGAATTGTGCAAATCTTAGATATAATACAGAAGTGTTGTGCATTTCTGTACACTTTAAGTACAATTTTAACAAGTTAGAATCTGGTGAAAACCAGATCATGTTCCATGACCAGATAAATAAAACCCAAAAACTGCTTCAGTATTGTACAGTGATCCCTCGCTACGTCGCGGTTCGTTTATCGCGGTTTCACGACTTCGCGGATTTTTTCTTTGGAGCCTTATTCAAGGGAAATTCGCCGATTCGCGGTATTTTTCTATGCGAAATATCAAGAAATTCCTGTTTTTTTCCATCAATTTCATCATAAAATGAATGTGTTCGACATGTTTTGTATAACGCCGGTTTAAAAAAACTTACATTTTTAGTGTACAGCGCCTTGTTTGGTAGTAATGCCTTGTGAATGCGCTTTATAAATAAAATTGGATTGGATTGGATAAAATGCACTTTTTGTAATAAAACTATTAAAAAAAACAAGTAAAAATACAGTACTATGTAAAGGGAGGGTTTTAAAAGTCTGAATACTGAATACGTACCTGTTAATTAAATACTGTAAATATGGTGTTCCTACTTCGCGGATTTTCACATATCGCGGCCAGGTCTGGAACGCATCTACCGCGATAAACGAGGGATCACTGTAGTTCCTTTGTCCCATGACTGTAGGACGTCATGTCAAACCTTGTGTTTTGGGCTCCTCAACCCTCCTGAATTGTTTAAAAACATGACTTTGTGTGGCTGAAGGGCTCGGGAGATAGCCTCTGTGACTTCTATAGGATCCAGCATCACAGAGTAACCCTGCTCGTCCCTCCCCACCGAACAAACCAAAGGAATTGTTCCACAGTCGAGACTCCACTGAAGGAGGCTGGTGTCAACAGCAATGGAGGGTGGAGCGCTGCAGAGCAGAGAGGAACAACATCAATATCAAAATTATTCATGGAATGCACACTGATGTTGGGAACTTCTGCTGAGAGCAGAAGCTGGCAACAGATTGGTTCTGGAAAAAATGATAAGTGGATACAAATCTCTCAGTTATAATTACTGGCAGGGACATTCCCCCTGTTAAAATGATGCTTATGATAATCACTATAGTGATAAAAACTTTATGCAATCCTGAAAAATGTTTTCTCTGAAAGCAGCTCTTGTTGAATCTTAACCTGGTTCCTTGTGGCGCTTCATGCAGGTGAAGAAAGGACTCTGCAGAGAAGAATGGCAGGACGGTGGCTGAGTGTTCCTGCAGAATTTCAGTCAGCTGCTGACATCTCTCCACCAGACCTGTGTTAGACCAAGGCCCAGCAACTTCTTTAGAGGGCTCAGCCTCCAGGTACTCAGACTGGCCCATTACCACCACGGGCTTCATATCCATTCGCTGCAGGAAGGAGAGTCCGAAAGCCAGGCTCTGGACCATTTCCCTGTTCTGGAAGGCTGAGCTGTCCACCTAGGGGAGATCCAATAAAGAGGGTGATTGTAGTTTACGTTGGATATGTACAAAAGATTCTCTGGGCTGAAGAAAGAGTCCTATCAGGTCTTTTTGGCCTGTGGGACTCCAGATGCAGCTAAAGGGTACTGGCAGTCAAGGCGGAATGTGGTTCGGGTGGTTGCGGAGGCAAAAACCCGGGCATGGGAAGAGTTTGGTGAGACCATGGAGCAAGACATCCGCACGGCTTTGAGGAGATTCTGGTTCACCTTTCGGCGCCTCAGGGTGGGAAAGCAGTGCGCTATCAACACCATTTATGGATGGTGTACTGCTGACCTCTACTCGAGACATTGTGCATCAGAGGGTAGAATACTTCGAAGACCTCTACAGTCCCACCGGTACGTCTTCCAGTGAAAAAGCGGAGCGTCGGGACTTTGGGTTGGACTCTCCAATCTTTGGGGCTGAGGTCACGGAAGTTGTCAAAAAGCTCCACGGTGGCAAGGCTCTGGGGGTGGATGAGATCTGCCCAGAGTTCATTAAGGCTCTGGATTTCGTGGGGCTGTGTTGGCTGATGCGGCTCTGCGATGTCTCGTGGACATCGGGGGCAGTTCTACTGGATTGGCAGAGTGGGGTGGTGGGTCCCCTATATAAAAAAGGGGGACCGCAGGGTGTGTTACAACTACAGGGGGATCACACTCCTGAGCCTCCCTGCTAAAGTCTATTCAGGGGTTCTGGAGAGGAGGTAATGTCGGATTGTCGAACCTCGGATTCAGGAGGAGCAATGTGGTTTCTGTCCTGGCCGTGTGTGAACACTGGACCAGCTCTATACCCTTACGGGGATCCTGGAGGGTGCGTAGGAGTTCGGCCAACCAATCTAAATGTGTTTAGTGGATTTGGAGAAGGTGTTCAACTGCGTCCCTCGGGGGGCCCTGTGGGGGGTACTGCAGGTGTATGGGGTACCAGGCCCTTTGATACGCGCTGTTACGCCCCTGGATGACTGGTGTCAAGAGATTGGTCCGCATTGCCAGCGGTAATTTGGGCTAGTTCCCAGTGAGAGTTGGACTCCACCAAGGCTGCCCTTTAGATTCTGTTGATAATTTTTATGGACAGGATTTCTAGGCATAGTCAAGATGTTGAGGGGATCTGTTTTAGTGGCCACCTATGGTCACGAGCTTTGGGTAGTGACCGAAAGAACGAGATCACGGATACAAGCGGCCGAAATGAGTTTTCTCCACAGGGTAGCTGGGACCTCCCTTAGAGATAGGGTGAAAAGCTCGGTCATACGGGAGGGGCTCAGAGTAGACTCGCTGCTCCTCCACGTTGAGAGGAGCCAGTTTAGGTGGCTTGGGCATCTGATTAGGATGCCTCCTGGACACCTCTCTGGTGAGGTCTTCTGGGCACGTCCAACCTAAAAGAAGAACCAGGACACGCTGGAGGGACTATGTCCCTCATCTGGCCAGGGAACACCTTGGGATTTCCCCAAAGGAGCTGGCCCAAGTGGCTGGGGAGAAGGAAGTCTGAGCCTCTCGACTTACCCCAAAATTCCACTATCTCCGTTCCGGCACGAACTCCACAGCAAAAACGGTCCCGCTGTAGTCAATCAGAGCTGTTCCACTACTGTGGCCGTACGGCGCAGTGCGCCGCCCGCCGTTCCGCCATCCGGCAAAAATAGGATCGATTCTATTTTTGCCGGACGCCGGAGCACCTCCGCAGTCAATGGACAGAAATCACAACCGCCCAACAGGAAAGGGAGCAAGCACAGCTTCCGTTTTTTCCACAATAAATCGATAAACAAAAAGCGTTTTTTGTTTCATATGCACAGGTTTAACAACTTTTAACAACTATCAATGGCGGTTGAACTTTAAATGCACAAAAGTAAGCCATAAATACAGTTTCTGCTATCAAAGTAGTCACACTTTGTTGATCCAAACACTGCTGATCTCTCAACACATGATAGGCAGATTAAACAGCTCATTTCGATGCTTCTCCCACACAACGGGTGTTTGGATCTAACTTCCGCGTTTATTGCTCGGACTGTATCGCAAGATCTCGAAAATCCCGCTCATGCTTGTTTGCCCACCTCGGGTCTCCGTAACGGAGCGGAGCCATTGTGGAGCGGGTACAGTATAATTTGAGTTCGGAAGCGAGCGGCAGCGGAGGGCGGGGGCGGAGCGGAGATGGTGGAATTTTGGGGTTAGGCTGTTGCCCTCGCGACCCGACTCCGGATAAGCAGAAGAAAAAGGATGAATGGATTGATTTTGAAAGAAAAAAGTACATTTATACCACATAAAAATATGATGGCCTGTGGCTTGTATTTGATACACAGGCCATCATTATAAAAACATGATGTTCAGCTGCCAGCTCTCGGTTAAGTAAACCTAATTTCTTTCAGAGAAGAGCAGTGGTGTCCAGTTCTGGTCCAACTGTACTGCTCACCTGATTCAATGTTTGATGGACTTCAGTAACTTGTTCAGTGTGTCTGAGTTCTTCAGAAGCCTGTAAATCCCCTATTGATACAAATCAGGCATGGTGGAGAACACTGGCCTGCTTACGAGCCAATAAAAAATGTCATTGCTTTTATACTGACATAGGCTTCCAGTCTTCTAGGGGATGATAATGAGTTCAAGCAAAGGCAACTGGACCTCTTTATTCATATTCTGCTTGTTTGTAACAGTGCTCACGTAACAATGGACACATTTTAAACAACTAAATTACAAATTCTGTTTATTGTAAGAAAACAAAACCTCCTAACTGTTTGAAAAGGAGGCTGGCTGCCAACTGATTTATCCTTCAATCTATTTTTATACACAAACAGAAAATGATCCCTGTTTGCAGCTTTGCAGCTGTCCAAAGGACACTCTTACACTCACTGTGGATTCTAGTTACAGAATCTGTTGTGCACTTGTGTTTTTAAGAATGACCAACAGGGAACAAATAAAAAAGGACCAGATCTTGCTAATGAGACCACTACTGGAGAAATATCTGCAGACACAGCATTTTGTGGAAAAGTTAACTTAATACTGAATTTTTTTATGGAAGCAGAAATGTTCGAAAACTACTTTCACGCCATGATCTTCTATCTTCCTAGATCATCCAACTGTAACCTGTTCCTGATTGTGTCTTTAGTCCTGCTGTAACAATGATTGTATCAGTCTCAGACGTTATGGGTGCTAAGGTGTTATTAGAACTAACTTTGTGTCTTACCACTCAGCATCAGCTCTTCTGTGTTTGGGTCTGACCCAAGAAATGTAAGTCTTTCATCAGATTTGTGCCTGTTCTTGTGTAATGTTTGAGAATTTATTTTTTATATATACACCGTTACTACATTATGACTAATAGAAATGCTAACAAGACACACAATTTTGTGAAACTGGAAAAATTTGAATACTTTGCAAATTTACTAAGGATGGACAATATATCGGCATCAATATCAGTATCGGCCGATGTTAGTCATTTTTTAACATATCAGTATTGGTTTGATAAATAAAACCGGGACAATATTAACAACTGATATTTTTTCCATATCATCTCCCTTTGTTTGCCTGTTTCAGAGGGTGATGTATAATTGTTTAGTCATGTGAACAGTCAATGAAATCATCTCAGAACCATACATTTGTGTGTTGAGTGTACATTATAACGTAAATTCAGCTTTAATAATTTCATTCTATTCAAAATCTGCTGAGTTTAGAAGCATTAATGTCAGTATATTGGTATCGGCAAATATCGGTTATCGGCCATAACAGTGATCTTAATATCGGATATAGGTATCGGTCCAAAAATGTCATATCGGTGCATCACTAAAAATTCCATTTATTTCAGTAATACAAATACACTAAAAGACTGTTTAAAGGCTCAGGAACCCCTTACAGGTGTTTTCTATTTGCAGTTATAAATTCTAGTTTATTGGAGTTTTGTTAAATCATAGTTTAAATTGGTGTAATGTTTCTTGTTTATAGTTTTTCTCGTTAAGAGCCCGATCATTTAAAATTTTCAGTTTTATAATAAACATTTGGACATGCATTTTATTATGTTCCAGTCCATTTAATCATTTATATTTTAGTAATTTATGGTTAAATAAGTAAGTTTAACTAATTACTTTTAAAAAGTTCCCAATTCCCAACATTGGTGATAACAGCCTCCACCTTCTAAGGTCTCTTTCTCTAACAGTGGAATTGTGAGTCTGTCCATAAAAGTTATGTACAGAATCTATGATTAAGGGTAGCCTTGGCAGAGAGTTACTGCCGGCAATGCTGACCACGTTCTGGCACCGGTTATTCAAGGATTTAACAGGAACATGTCAAGTGGCCAAGTATCCCATATTCCTGGAGTACCCCCATTGGACCCCCCGAGAGATGCGACCAAACGCGTTCTCAAAATCAACAAATAAATATGTAGATTGGTTGGGTGAACTCCCACGCACCATCCAGGACCCCCTAAGGGTACAGAGCTGGTCCAGTGTTCCACGGCCAGGACGGAAACCACATTGCTCCTCCTGAAGATGAAGCCTCTTTTATAAAACAATGCTGCCAATTTGCTGCAAAGTGGATGCTACATTGGGGAGCCTTAGATGATTTTGTAAGTGGTCAGACTGCGGCGGTAATGTGGCGCAGTTATATCTTTTTCACAAAAGTAAACGCAATGGCAGTAAAAAGCGGGTATTGGGGTGGTCTCTGCGCTGTCACGGACTTCATTTTAGCTTGAACATGACTTGCTTATTGCGATTGAAATAATGCAAATGGCCCTTTTCTCCAGAACCTTGAATAGGCCTTACCAAGGAGACTCAGGAGTGTGATCCCCGGTAGTTGGAACACACCCTGCGGTTCCCCTTTGAAAAAACCTCTTATAGAATACAATTCCATCATTTTGCCACAATGCCGAGCCGGCATATGGGGCCTTAGGTTGTTTAAAAGTGGTCAGATTGTAGAGGTAATGTGGTGCAATCATGTCCTTTTTACACAATATTGCACATTAGTGAAAAAAATGGGGTATACGGGCGGTCTCTGCGCTGTTGCAGACTTCCGTTTGTCTCGAACTTGACTTGGTTATTATAGTGACTGAAGCAGCACTCATGGTTTTTTTTTGACAAGTCACTCCTAAAGGTGTTTGTCCTCCACGGTCTCTGTACAGTCTGATGACCTGACCATGGGCTCCAATGAAGAGAAGCTCCTAAAGTTCTGCATCGCTCCAGTTTATCATCTCAGCTGATTCTTTTAACAAACGCAAAACTTACTGCCCGTGTTTACTTTAATTTTCAGTGCAATTGCCAGCCAGGGCTCAGCTGTAACTCCCCACATGATGATGACACCTCCCTCTGTTGCGCCAAGGCATTATATGCATTCACAAGTCCGCCATTGTGGCAATGTTACTACCAAAATGGCATAACAAATGCAGCAAAATTCCTGCATCGCCATGGTGCTTTCATAAGACATAAGCAGTATTATGCTGATTTGCCATGATGTGTCTTCTGAAAAGGGCTAAATGTTCTCAAGAAATGGATTCTTAGAAAGATCGACCCAACTAACAACCCTCTCCCCGCTAGACAAAAACTATTTGAAAAGTTTGCAAGTATGTAAATGCCGAGACACTAAAGCTAACTGAAATTTAATATCGCTAATTGTTTTGGGTTTTGAACAAAATACTTTGATATGACAGTCCAAACTCACAGTAGTAAAAAGTGAAGTGGCTTTTTTAACTTTCACAAATGAAATACAGGTTTCAAAAATTGCCAACAATTAAGGCCGCTTCAATTAATATAAAATAATCTAGACCAGGTTTGATGAGTTTTATAATTGTAGCTTTATGATTAAAGATACACAGGGCATGGGAAAATTAGCTGGAAATGCCTTTTCTAAATTGAAAACTAGAAATGTGAACCAACTACAGTACAGCAGGTTGTTCAAGAGAAAAAAACAAGTAAAATCAATGGAAAACCACCAACTCTTGGTTAGATGAGACTAAATGACAAGCACCCTGGTTTTAATTATGGGTTTTTTTATAAACTGTTTTCACATTATCACGCTCAGAACAATAACTGTGTAGCCAATTTTGAACAAGGAAGTGAAAATTTCTTGTGGCCTTGACCGGTTCCTTTCCCCCCTTAGTTTGAAACCTAAATTAATATAATATAATATTTTAATAGATTTAAAAACACATTGGTTAAACTAATTTGAGGGTCAATAAAATGGGCCATCTAATGTTTTACCTCCAGAACAGCAAAGGCAGGCGACTTGGTAGAGGTGGCCCTCTGGAACTGGGTCAGCCAGTACCGGGCTTCCCGGGGATCTCCACCGACTTCATTCAGAAAGGCTTTCACGTCCCTATAAATCAGATTACGGCTCGCCACCGCATGTCTGTCCGCTGCTGAGGAATATCCTATTCTCTCCTGCTGACCCAGAGTCGCAGTTGTCCGAACCGAACCGGGCACGGTGGAGCTGACTGCTCGGCGCAGTAGAGCGCACACCTTTCGCTGCTGCCGCCCCGCGGGGGGCACGCTCGGGTTCGACAGGTATCTTCCTGCCATGACCATGGCCCGACAGCCAGCAGAACTCTTCCCCTTAGACATTTGGAGAGCTGCGTGGTCCAGAAAGCTGAAACTATACAGCAAGGGTTGCGCGGGGATTCTAACTCTCAGCTGTTTCATTCAACACGCCACGGTGCTGCTGAGGCAGCACTTCTCACGTTTCAACAGCCCCTCGCATGGCGGAGGCAGGGGCGGTTCGGTGAAACAGACATGGGTGGGCATTAGGGGATCGTGAAGACCCCCCCCCCCAATTATCTTTTATAAATAACATTTAGAATGTTTTGTAAGTAACTTTAATCACATTTGCGTATACAGTGTAAAGTAACAAAAGTTAGTTGTAATAAAAAAACACTGATTAGTTTTCATCTTATTGCCAGACATGGTGGCTGGTGAAATGTTTTTATGCCATTATGTGGAGCACAGAAGCTGACGGAGACATGCCCAACTTTTTAACTATGCGTCAAAAGTGACAGAGACCGCAAGCTTGTGATTAGTCAGTACGCCGCTTCCTGTAAATTCATCAACATCATCAAACACTAACACTGTGAATTTCCCATTGTCCGCAGCTATCATGATGTTACTGGAAACTTTATGCAAAGCCGTTTTTGTTTAATGCTTTTTACAAAAACCAAATTGAAATTTGTCAAAACTGTTGTGTAGAGCCAGAAAATGTATTTATTGATCAGCCACAACCTATTCCAAAATATAAGAAAAAAAGAGTAATTTAGAAATGGGTCTGTAATTTTTAGTCTGAGATGAGTCCAAATTTGTTTTTTTAAGGAAGGGTTCAATAACTGCATGTTTGAAAACAGATGGTACAGAGCCAGAAAAATTAATTAAGGCCCTGTCCACACGTAGCCGGGGATCTGCCAAAACGTAGATATTTTTCTACGTTTTGGCCTGTCATCCACACGAAAACGGAGTTTTTTCACACGAAAACGGATCTTTTTAAAAACTCCGGCCAAAGTGAAGATCTGCGTTTTCTCCGTTTTGGGTGTCTGCGTGTGGACAGACAAAACCGGAGTTTTAAGGTCCGCAACGTCACTTTCCGCGACAAAAAAATGCTGACATCACGTGTGCGACCTGTGTTTACACTAGCCGACAGCATGGATGCCCTCAGAGCTGTGCTCGCTTTATCAACTGTCCAAGCGCTTTTTGCTTGTTTGTTTTTGCAAGCGGAATTACTGCTCCTTGCGGAAGACCACAGACGAAGGACGAGGTTAAGAACGGGGGAAGTACTGCCGCCTACAGGTCTGGCGTGTCCTTAACAACATATTTATCCGGGTATGTGTGGACAGTTTTTTTTTAAACGAGGTGGTGTGGATGCAAGTTTTTGGAGGGGCAGATATTTGTTTTAAAACAAAACCCAGCTACGTGTGGACTAGGCCTTAATCTACAATGCATGGGCCAATTAGATCAAACATCCTGATGAACAGGGTCGTAGGGATAACATAACATCAAAGAAGAAGAAGAAGAAGAAGAAGAAGAAAAGATCTTTTCTATAGCGCCTCTCAAGATAAAAATCACGAGGCGCTTCACAAAAACAAAAAAATGTATAATATAAAAAGCAATTTTGAAAATGAATAAAAACAAAAATTAAGACAATTGTGATGAAAAATGTAAAGAAAGAGAGAGAGTGAATATGAAAGACGGAAATCAGTGGATCCTGAGGAAGGTGGAATAGGTAGGGAGAGCAGAACAAGGAGAGGGTGATGAAGGTCACACAAAAACCAGCTTGAACAGGTGAGTCTTCAGCTGCTTTTTAAAGGAGACCACTGAGTCCACTGATCTCAGGCTCAGGGGGGGGGGGAGAGATCCAGAGTCTGGGGGCCACAGCAGCAAATGATCTGTCACCTTTGGTCTTTAGCCTGGTGCTGCACAACCAGTAGGCTTTGATCACTGGACCTCAGGGACCTGCTGGGGGTGTAGGGACTGAGAAGATCACCAATGTATGACGGTGCTTGTCCATGTAAGGCTCTATAGACCAGTACCAGGATCTTGAAATGAACCCTCAGGTCAAAGGTGCCATCTGCTGTGGCCCGCTGTCTACTGCTCTGGCCTTTTTTGTTTATTGTCCTAATTTTATGTTTACTGGGCCATTGTTTGGCTTATTCCAGCCCTAAGATCTGTTATGACAGACACCCTCCTGGATCCTGGAAAATGTCAAGGGAACACGAGGTTGGTTTCATGTGTGGATCTGAAAGAGCCAACTGTCCTGGAAATCTACAGGAGTAAAGGCAGACCATGATTAGGAGGAAGGTGGATGGATGGGAGACTAGGAAGTAGATGAGGGTGAAAAGACTTGCCCTGATATTTCTAATTTTATTCAAAATAATTCTAGAACGTCTCTTGGTTATGCGGCAGGTTCTCAGACTGTAAATGTTTTGATGAATCAAAGGGCATTTACTCTTGTTAGAAACAATTATCTGCTTAAAGGCCCGGTGTGTGACATTTTTTACCAGTTTACTATCAAATCTTGTGTTTCCAGTTCACAAACTTGTCCTTTTTCACTAATATTTCTCACCAACATCAATTCTAGATATTCCTCTCAACTTGAAATTATACATTTTTATAGACATAAACTGTGGTCGACACTCCATGGTCATCCACCATCTTAAAATACAGTAGCTGTTTAGGGACATGCTAGCTCCACATTTCCCGTTTGGACTGTGACTGTAACCTGAAAAAACCAGCAGAGGGCAGCGGTGCACCCTTGAAGCATGGAGTCTGCTAATTCAACTAAGAAATAGAAAAGAATAGCTCCACCGTTGCTGCACTTGTTAGTTTGAATTAAAAAAAATTAAATCAAAAGACATAAAATGTGTCTGTTAAAATGTGTCAGTTCGTCATCATGTCCAACACAAGGAAGCTGCATATGTTCAGACCCCCGCCCGCTATTAGCTGGACGCCAGCCTCCGATTAGTGTCTCTGTCTCCCAAACTCACCTCAAGTTGTTCATCCGTCTTTTCCAAGTACCAGAACTCCCGATCCGGTCCCAAAGTGTCAGTTCCAAAGTCCTTCTACTCAAGTCTCCTATCTTCAGTAGCTGAAGCAGGTCTTCACAGACATCTTTAACACCTCCCTGAGGCAAGCCACTGTCCCATCATGTTTCAAGACTGCCACCATGATACCTGTACCAAAGAAACCATCCCCAGCTTGTTTCAATGACTACCGCCCCGTGGCACTGACACCCATTATTATGAAGTGCTTTGAACAACTAGTCATGTCACACATCAAATCCACCCTACCTCCCACTCTGGACCCATACCAGTTCACATACAGAGCGAAACGATCCACAGAGGATGCAATCTGCTCTGCCCTCCACCCAGCCCTAACTTTATATATATATATATATATATATATATATATATATATATATATATATATATATATATATATATATATATATATATATATATATATATATATATATATATATATAAATAAAGACCTTTGTTCGTTCAGTGATGGAGATGCTGACTTAAACTTGAGATGCTGTGGCTGGCTGGACAGGTAGAGGTGCTGCTAAACAGCTTGATAATTGTTTCAGTGCCAACTTGTTCAAAAACAAATTTTTGAAGTTTGAGGAAAACTTGTTTTTTTTTAAAGTGAGATACCGCAACTGAAACACGAAATAGCGCCCCCTTCAGTTCAGGAAAGCAATGGCATCATTTCCATATATGGTGTTGTTGTGCCTAATGCCCACTCCCCACCCCGGGCTACAAGCTGTAGCCAAGACCATCTCAAGCAGATTGGCGAAGAGGAAGCGTGCTGGGCCCATAACCCAGAGGTCAATGGATTAAAACCATCCTCTGCTAACCAACCATTGCACTATTAAACAGTTTCCAGATCTCTCTCAGCATCAGCAAGACTACAGTCAGCTTGATGATGAAGAGACAAGCCTCCCAGTGCAGGAGACAAACCTGAAGCTCAGCCAAATGAGAGCTTCCATGCATTGGCGGTTCTAAGGGCGGGGCCACAGGGGCACTGGCCCCTGCTGAAATCTGATTGGCCCCTGTAGTGCCCCTGTCCTGTCACTCATTTGTCCTTTGTGCGGTGAAGAGATTGTAGGTGGATGCAATTCCGAGTCCAAACACTAGTGGCCGCGTGGCGCTAAGGAGCAAAATAGTGTGTGAAATCTAACAGAAGAAGATTTGAAAGATTCCAAGGAGGGAGAACTTTCAACCGACATCTGAAGAGAGTTCACGTTATGAGGAGTTTGTTGGTAAGTCATGAATCACTGTTTACTCACAGTTGCTATGTAAGTCATTTCTGACAATAAGTCAAATGGAAAGCAATGCCGACATTAGTTAACAGTAATGTTAAAGGCTTGTGAAAAAACGTTAGCCCTTGCTAATCCATGTACTTCTTTTGTAATCTGCATTTTGTGTGTTAATAGTTGGCACTGTAATAGAGAACATGAAAAGAAAGGGTCAGATACAGGCGGGAATTCTGCAGTATTTTCCAAAGAGAGTGAGTGTGTCAGCTGGTGAGAACGAGCATGGAGAAATCAGAGAGCAGCAGGAGGCAGTGGACCAGAGGCTGCACAGGGCAAGGCACCTCCATTCCCCCTTTATCAGGTCAGAAAGAATATAATCTTTATTGTGCAACAGTCATGTCAGATAAACACGAGAGACAGCCTCTTTTAGGACACACCATGCCGGGAAATCAGCGTACGTGTAAACGCACCGTGGCGGCATGGTGTTGCGGGCATTTTGTGGCATTCGTGCTGCCACGGTTGATACTAATTTTACCGCAACGCCGGACTTGTGAATGCATATTACAACTTGGCGCAACAGAGGGTATCATGATCACGTGGGCAGCTACTGCCGAGCTCCGGCCGGCAACTATATTGAAAATGAAAGCAAACATGGGCCGTAACGTAAGTTTGACTTTTCTAAACAGAATCAGCTGAGATGATGGGGAGCCTCTCTCCGTAAGAGTTGAAGCTCAGATCACCAGAGACTGCACGGGGACAGACATCTTCTGGAGCGGCTTGTTAAAAAAGCTTAATGAGTGTGGCTTTGATCGCAATAAAAAGCAAGTTATGTCCAAGATAAACTGAAGTCCGTGGCAGCGCAGAGACCGCCCCCAAGCCCCCTTTTCACCGCCATCGCATAATCTTTTGTAAAAAGATCATGATTGCACCACATTATCCAGCAGGACGGTCTG